GAGTGTTACCTATTTGATCCTATGGTAGAAATTTGCGTGTGATTTGGTAAAAAAAAAAATTGAGGGCTGGTAAGCCATGTTTTTTTTTTTTCAAATTTGGAAGAATTATTGAGGGATGCGTATCCTGGTCAGGACTACTATGGGGCGAGAACAGTTATACTTGCCGGGTGTACGGAATTTCATGAGTGTTACCTATTTGATCCTATGGTAGAAATTTTGGTCTATTGTCGTGAGAAGTTCTCTAGAGGATGTGAAGTGTGTGATTAACACTAGGTTTTGTATATTTAACCTGATGTTTTACGGAAGCATAGCATATAATTTCGTTAGGAATAGACTTATACCTTCGTGGTAGGTAACGTTGCCGAATCTACATACATTCTGATTGGTTATTTTATTTGAGGGAGTGTTAATCCCTTATTAAGATTGTGGTTGTTGGCATCGGGGAGTGATATGTTGTGAGCAGCTGGTGTCATATCTCGGGCAATAGTATAATGGATGTTCTCTAAGTTTCAGGATTCTTTTACTATGTTTGAATGCGTTAGGTGTGTACCTTAATACTGGTTAGGTTAGGAGATGCGGTCAGTAGGGTTGGTTGGGTGTATAACCCATGGTTAGGGTGTGACCTGTGAGTAGAGTCACAGTGGTATGGTGTTTGCGGATGAAGGTTTGGGATAATAGCAAGGAGGGTGAGGACTTTTACTCTTCTGGAGAGTTAGGATGGTGAGTCTTTGAAAGCCTTGTCGGCGACATGCGATTATGCCAGGGTTTGGTTCAAGGCAGTTGTTCAGTAGTAGTAATGGCTAGTTGTTTGGCACGGAGACTTAGAGTCTTGATTGTACTCTCGAGCCGAGTGACAAATAGGATGCGGAATAAAGAGTGGACCCTGTGGATCATTGGGGGATGAAGATACTATGGTTGCTTGTGTTCGGCTCGAAGGGTTACGTAGTGATGATACGTGTCGTGGCGTGGTAAACCCTTGTTAGCTAATTCGGTACGAGGAAACAAGTATGCAAATTTTCTTATTATGAGTTCGGTCGAGGTGGCGAGTGAAATCTCTGAATGAGGGATTCCATATGGGTGTAAGATAGCTTGCATTAAGTGAGGAGGTTTTGCCTAGTACGGTGCGTGACAATGTGCGGTTCGTATGTTGTTATTAGATGATGTGTTGAAGGGGATCGATCTTAGGGAAACCCCAGGAGAATGCCTTGGTAAGGCGATAGTGTGGTTACTAATAGAATCGAGTAGTTTGATGTTTGGTAAAGTTGGGTCACTTGGGTGTAGGTGTCGTGGGGTAACTTTGAAGAATCCGGGGCAATCTATTAGACCTAGGAGGTTGTGTAATCAATCGGCGTCTTAATGTTTGATATAACCTTCACACGGACAGTTAGAAAGTTATTTTGAGTTGTGGTAATCGGTTTGGAAGTTCGGTTGAGAACTTCAACCCTTTGAGCGCTTCGCGCCATTTTTGTGATTGGGAGGTGTGCAATTTCACCCTTTGTGTTGTTGCGTGGTTGGAAATTTCAAAATTTATCGGGGTCCCTAGCATGAAAGTTTTGTTTTTTGGTATTGTGCCATCACCGTGAGTGCGACGGGTTTTGTGGGATGACTATGTTGTGATTCACTGGAGGGACATTGAGTACTCTTCATAAATTAAAATGATTTTGGGTCAAAACATGAATTTGCGATCCTTATTCTTCGGGAAAATAATTTGAAAAATCTCTGAGTTCGGCTGTGGCCAGTTGTAAATGACGTGTTTAAGTGGCGGCGGTATAAGTCTGAACACTTTTTGGGAAAAACTGAGTGTTTTGAAACAAATGGAATAAATAAAACAATTTCTTTAACCTGGACGGAGTATCTTATGAGAAGTTAGAATTGACCTAGTCTGAGTTGCTGGTTACATGTTGTGTGTCTTTGGCAAGAACTCGAAATTTTGGGGCATTAATGTGCCATAATGTTACTCTTTACCTGTGCTCCGTCTTGCATTCTCGTTTTGTGAAAGTTGACCGAAAGCCTTGTGTATGAATGATTTCGTGTTCCTATGTTGGAGGTATTAAGCACTCAATACTGGTTAGGGTATTGTCGGTAGTCGAGACGTGGTGGATGTCTCAGAACACTGTAGTGGTTGAATGTGTCATATTGTTATCATTGTTATCGAGCCTTGCGGAGCAGGACTTTTTCATTAATTAAGGTGTTGTGGAAACATCACGGGGTTGACGAAGCCACTTGGGAACGTGAGTTGGATGTCTGTGAGAAATATCCTGACTTGCTTGTTAATGTTTAACCATGTATTGGAAACTTTGTTTTGTTGATAAACTCTAAGAACATTGTATATGTTTTGGTTTATGGAAGTATGGTAATTGTTGAATACACCTCGGAAATGGAAGTTTAAGTTTAACATTGTATATGTTGAATGTGTTGTAGAAATGCAAATATATTATTAACATTGAATATGTTATGGAATTGTGAAGCATGTGTATTGGGACTTGTTGAATTTCGAAGAATTGCATGTTGATAATGCATGTTGTATCATGTTGTAAATTGCCTCCTGAAAAGAGATGGGATGGCCGGTAATGGGTCAGGATGTTGAATATTGAATTGTAATATTGTTGAGAATTGAAAAATCACAATTTTGAAAATTATAACTAATTTCGGGAAATTTCCTAAGGTGGGGAGGTTGTAGCACTTGTACCTTTTAAAGCTTTTGGTAAATGTATTTGGACCCTTTATTCTATTTTGGGAACCTTTGGTGTTGTTGTACTTTAGTTTTGGAGGAGTACAAATTGATTTAAACTTGTTGAGTTTGGTTGTTCGCATTTATTCTTGTCAAAAGTTCCTTGGAGAGTTAGAAATTTCATTCTGGGGTCGACACCAGCCTTCCTAGGGTCGACCCTTACCTATTGATGAAGTTCTGGAAGTGTTACTGGAACATAGGGTAGACACCGGACTGGGAGAGGGTCGACCCTCTTCTGTCTGTGTGTTGGTTGCTGGAACATAGGGTAGACACCAGACTGGGAGAGGGTCGAGCCTCTTCTGTCTGTGTGTTGGTTGCTGGAAGATAGTGTAAACACCAGTCTGGGGTAGTGTCGACACCTTCAGTGCAGTCAAAGCTTTCCCAGATTTTTTTTTGCTTCTTTGGTGTCGACACCACTGTTGCAGAGGTCGACACCTACGACTTTTTCCTAGATTTTTCTACTGGTTTGGGCCTACTTTTTGGGGATATTTTGACTAGATATTTTGAGTTGACTTTGGGGCTTATATCTATTTTTGACCTAGTACTATATAAAGGCCCTCACTTGACCTTTTCTCTCACTTTTTCTTCCATTTCCTCTCTCTAAACCGTGAAACACCTTCTCTCTCTCTCTAGGCACTTTTCACTCAAAGATCCTTAGATCTACTTATTTGAAGACCTCTACTCACCTTGCTCCTTTGAGATAAAGTGTAGAGCTTGTCGAGGGCTTCTTTTTGATCTGAACAAAGCTTGGTTTATTATTCGTCGACTGTTGGGTTTTTCTTCTTTCTTCCCCTTCTAAGCTTGAGGTAGGGATAACTACTCATACTTATGATCTTTGACATAAACTTGTAGTTATTTTGATTTAATATTGTAGTTGGGAAAGTTTGGGAGTTAGGGTTTGAAACCTTTAAATGTGTAAAGAGGGGTTTTTGTTCCATTGAACTATGTATGTGTATTTGAGCCTTAAAATGAAGTTATTGAGGTCTATTGATGATATTTGGACCTTTGGGTCAATATTGAGAAAAATGGGAAAATACCTTAGTTGGGATTAATTGGGTCATTTGTGAAATTAATGACATTTATCATGAGTTAATGAAATTGGTTGGGAATAATGAAATTGAGAAGTTATGAGAATGAATGGTGAAGTTGGATTGATTAATCACTCACCTTTGAAATTGTTGATAATTTATCTGTTGACACATTTATTATCTGTTTGGAAATAATTGTTTTGGGCTATTGGTGGAGAATAGTCTTGATTGTTGTAGACATTGTATGATGATTAGGGAAAACTGAAACTAATCACAATGAATATGTCATTGAATATGACGGTTGGAATAATATAGCAAATGTGTGTATTGATTGATCATTGTATATGATAAGTGTTTAAATACATTGTATGTGTAATTTGTGTGGGAAGAGATAGGGGATGTACTCAATGGTTTGAGAGGCGATAGGGGATGGACTCTCAAACCTGTTTGGGAGGAGATAGGGGATGGACTCCACTGATACAGCAAATCTATGTATCACTTGAAGTATGGAAGTGTTTTAATGTGAGTTATATTTTCATGTGAATTGTGAAGTATGAAAGTGTTTTAATGTGAGTTATATTTTCATATGAATTGTGAAGTATGGAAGTGTTTTAATATGAGTTATAATCTCATTGAATTGTTTGGCCAGGTTCTGAGCCATGTTTATGAATTGAATTGGTTAAGTAAAGGAAAGTGGAATGAAACATGGATATATTTGTCATGGAACTGGAACACGTTGTATGTTGGTTTATATGAGTTAAATATTTATCAAGTGCTAATGTTTTAATTATTGCTCATATTATGTTTAGCATATCTCTACTGGGCGTTGGCTCACCCTATATGGGACATCATTTTCAGGTGCAGGTGATATGCCACCTCCAAGGATGTAGCTTGGGAAGTTGTAGAAGCTGAAGGCTTACTTTGTGATCATTTTGTGTATTACATGTATATCAAGTCAGGGGCTTATTTTGTACAAAGAGTTAAAACTCTATTATTGTTGAACCCAAGTGTTGACTTGGAAAGTTGTAAGCCTATAGGGCATTTACTTTTGTCGTCAACGTGTAATATCTCTTGTAAGAATACTCTGACGAATAGAAATGTGCTTTATTCTCTTATGTTTATGCATGGCTAGAATGTATGATTTATGGGTTTCTTTTGAGGGTGTTACACATGGCAAATACTGGAATGATTGAACTTGGAGAAGTTCAACTTGCTACTTACCTTGCTGAGAAGACATTTACAGGGCAGCCTTCCTTTCAAAATGGTAAATAGTTTATCAGATTTTTTAAATTTAAATTTTAGAATAATTACCAAGAAACTAAAAAAAAAACTAGGACTCTTTGCCTCTATACACCTCCAAAATAGTTCATTAAGCAGTCTTTGGGATTTTACAGCTCAAAATCTCACCAAACAGATATTGATCTCGTAAGCTATGGATCAAATATTTGCTCTCTTTCATATAATTTACAAGAATTATATGCAATGTGAATGATTAAACATTTAGAATAATTACCAAGAAACTAAAAAAAAACTAGGACTCTTTGCCTCTATGCACCTCCAAAATAGTTCATTAAGCAGTCTTTGGGATTTTACAGCTCAAAATCTCACCAAACAGATATTGATCTCGTAAGCTATGGATCAAATATTTGCTCTCTTTCATATAATTTACAAGAATTATATGCAATGTGAATGATTAAACACTGCAATTTAAATTTTTAAAAAACTGCAAATGGAACTGCAAAAAGATAGGACTTCATCCTGACATAAATGAACTGCACAAAGAATATACTGACTTAATTGTGCAGGCTTGGGATGTATAAGTATTTTTAGGGCCGAATTTGGGATGGTTAGATTAGGGCCGAGGTTGGGCGGGCCTTGGGGTAATGCATTTATTCTTACTATATAGTGGAAGCCTGACCCAACCCAGTCGATGCCCACCCCTCGTAGACAGTAAATCTGGATTTTATGACTGAAATGATTGTCACTTGATTTTCTCCCTAGTAAGAACTTCCTATCACTTTCTGGAATTTAGTCATGCTTTCAATTGAATAAATTATTTTATATTTTCTTGTTTGCCATTTATATATATTGTTTGATTATGCTTGTTAAAGAGTTGGGAGAACAACTATTATTGTTATAAGCACTTGACTTCTGCCCCTATTTTAACTTCATTTGATATGTACAGGATTGCCTTCACTCATTGCATTTCCCTCTGGATGTAACACTGCAAATTGTCTAATTAGGTGAGTTTCCGCCTGAGGTTTAAATTTTGAAAGCTGCCCTCATGCTGCATTGTGAGTTTTAAAGTCAACACACAAGCTTTATAACTTTGCACATTTCTATTTATGCCCAATGCAATCTCTCTCTCTTTCTCTCTCTCTCTATATATATATATACATACATACATATATATATATATATTATGGGATTTGTCTTATAATTTTCTACTTGATGGATTCTAAAGGAAATTTTAACATCATTTTGATTGTTTGATGCAGGTATGTGGGAGAGCTTTCTGTTGATGCTGTTACTAATTGGTTTGCAACCACGATCCTAAGTTTGCCTCGCATTCTATACTACTCAAAGGATTCATTGGTAATAAATACACTTTTTCCTGGGTCCATATGCACATTTTGTTACGACTAAATTGTGATGTAGGATAGTTTAGGAAACTTGGATGATGCTGTCTACACTTGAATTTTTAGTAGTTTTAGGGCCAAGAAAGGTTGTGGGTTTAGAGTTCAATAAGGTTGGAGGGTTCTAGTGTTTGTGATCGTAACAGATTATAATTATCCTGAATTTTGAAGTTAATTTGTGGAGAATAAGGTAGAAGGAATGAACTTTTGTTGGGAGCGATTGACTAGGCTTGCATGACGTTGTGATGCTGGAGTGGAATTTCATAGATTGATGCACTGAAAAAGCAATATAACAAGAAATCATTATTTAGTTAGGAGTCTTTTCTGATAATTAGCATTTGATAAATATCATGCAATATTCTCTTGAATTTAATATTTGCATAATCATGACTAAGTTCATTATTGGATGGGGACTCCAGCATTTTTTTTTCTTTTTTGTGGAGAATAAGGTAGAAGGAATGAACTTTTGTTGGGAGCGATTGACTAGGCTTGCATGACGTTGTAATGCTGGAGTGGAATTTCATAGATTGATGCACTGAAAAAGCAATATAACAAGAAATCATTATTTAGTTAGGAGTCTTTTCTGTTAATTAGCATTTGATCAATATCATGCAATATTCTCTTGAATTTAATATTTGCATAATCATGACTAAGTTCATTATTGGATGGGGACTCCAGCATTTTTTTTTTTTTCTTTTCTCAACCCTTCTTTTTATTTCACTTATGCTCTCTATTAAACTGATATTGGTTTGGGTAAGATGGGTAACAATTTGACCATGTTCTTTTCACTTAAAAAGAGGTGGTAAAAGAATTTTTTATGGCTAAATTACATTGACCACTCCTAAGGTTTGGCCATAATACTCTCATTGACCCTAACATATAAAAACTACATTGACCACCCTTGTCAGACTTTGTTGGAAACAATATTAACAGATGATGTCATTTTATTCTTTAAACTTTATGAATTAAAGCCCTTATTATTTCCTCCAATTTAGCACCCAAAACCTTTTTTTCTCAACATAATCATCACAACCCTCTTCTCCAAATGAAACCTGATGATTCACTTCCACCAACAGGTCCAAGACCCATATTTCTCTAGCAGCCTCTTTCCCTCCATCTTTTATCTCTCTCTTTGATTTTTAATAGATCCACCATAATATAAGCCATAATGAATCCCATGCCCTCCACCTTTGACAATGGTTATGGGGTTGCTGTGTCCAATTAATGTATATGTAGAGAGAGAAGTGGTGGTGATAGATGATCTGGCTTAGAGCGACACGTCACCATTTAGGCTAGTTATAACTTATATCAAGGGTATATGATGTCATCATATTTCATTTTTATCACCAATGGTCAGTTAGCAACAAGAGGAAATCTATTACATGATTTCCCAAATAGAGGAAGTTAGTGTGATTATTAATACCATAGGGTAGCAAGTGTATTGAAGCCAAACCTTTGGGGTGGACAGCATAATTTATCCTTAACCACTGGAGTTAGGCAGTTGCGAGAACTGGTTTACATCATTAGGAGGTTATGGTTTGATTCCCTCCTTTCCTCAAATGTACCAGGAGAAAAAAAGAAAAAGAAAAAGAAAAAGAAAAAGAAAAAAAGCGGAGTAATTGATCCTCCTCTTTTTCATGTATGCTGAATTTACCATGCTCACGAAGCCATTAATTGGGGCAATTGTAAAAGGTTGGCAGACAAGTTTGAGAAAATTTGTTCAACTGTAAAGGCTGCATCTCTGTGTGAATGATGGCAGACATTAGAGTTTTACCTAGTTTAGTCCTTCCTACTTCTCAATTGTCAAGCTGCATGCTTGCCTGACCTAAATCACTAATGACTTTTGATATTCCTTTATCATTTTGCATAGTACTTTTAACTGAAACCAGTTTGCATTGGAGATAATAATGTTTCTCTTGCTTTCATGTTTTTTAATGGCCTTTTTATTGGAACTGATATGAAATTATATATTTATTCCAGCTACAAAGTTTTGTGGGAAAAAGCAGTCCTCATAAGGTGCAAATTATTTTCAGTTCCCATATATTGCAAATCAGTCTATTTTATTTACTGTGTGCTACTTAGTATTATTTTTCACTTTGATAATTTTGATTATAATTTATTGTCACACCAATAAAACTATTTAACAGTTGAAACAAATAAGAGGAAGAAATGCTACGTGTAATCATGTCTTTAGTTCTTTTATTTCTTTCCGTGAAATCCAAGTTATATATTTTATTTTAGCTGACTATGCTACCCATCCAAATTGATACTTTACAACATGATGATATGTAAGGCATGTGTTCCTTCTTTGATGACACCGCCACGCTCATTCTTGCACTGTTGGGTTTCAATACCATGGGTAGATTCATTTTTTTTTTATATTTAAATTTTTTATATCTATTATCATCCTTAATTGATTTTTCAATTTTGGATAACAGGTGAAAGTCATTTTCTTCTCAGAAACAGGGGAGCGTGCAGCTCCATTCGTGCGTCAAGCTGCCCTAAATTATTGGCCATATACTGCTTTCACATTTGTCCCATGGCGAGAAGAGGAATCTTCCTTTTGGTGGAATGTGTACGTGTATTTTCTTTCTTTTCTTTTTTGGGAGAACGTATAGGAATGCTTTTTTTTTCCCCTTCCCTTTTTTAAAAAAAGAAAAAGAAAAGGAAAGATTAATATCTTAAATGTTCTTACAAGCTTCCTTCGGAATAATTTCCTAGTTTTGTGAATAATCTTGTCATTTTTTCTTTGATTGGTACAGGGTTGTCCGGATCAAAGCCCGACTAATCCCCAAATAATCTTGTCATTTAACCAACAATAAATCTTAGAATAGTATCAGAACTATTTTATATTATTCCTTTCTTCATTGAACAGAAGCAGTATCATTATTCTTTCTTATATTGGCTTGAAGGATTGATGATAAATGGGGAATTCTTTTTGCAGCAAAGCCAGATTTTTTTGCAGTCACAACTATTTGCTTCATGTTAACTTCTACTTTGATCTGGAAAGCTGTTATATCTTGGATAAGTGTAGTTATCAAATTTCTTTATTTATTGCAGTAGTAGGGGGTAGAAAACGTCTATCGTCATGTTACCCATGACAATAACAAAGTGTTATGTGTGAACAAACAAAATCCTACTTATGTTATAATGGAAGAAGAATGACAAGCTCAAATTTGATAGTGAAAAATTTTTCTTGCCTCACATGGAAAGACTTCCATGAACTTTTTCTTTCAACGAAATCTTTCTAAATTTCACTATGCAGTTGTATCCTTGAAGGGGATAACAATTTTCATTTCAGTAGTATATGAAATATAAGGCATTTGAATGTTCAGGGTGTTTCCCTGTAGCGCTACCCAGCCCTTTTATGTATTTTGAGCCAAGTTCCATCATAAGATCTGGGGTTTTGGAAGAGGCTAGACAGTTAGATCAAATATATCTATCAGAGTCCATGCTACACAGCTTTAAAGCTGTCAGGGTCTGATTATTCATATTTCAAATCCTTTGAAAAATCTTGTGCAAACTTTTAAAATTTTCATTTCATTCTTTTGTTTTGTAATCTCAATTAGGATCACAAATGTTCTGTATCATTTCATGCTATTGTTGGCATCTCCTTCAATTTTTATGTGAAGATTATGAAATCAACCTCCAAGCATATTTGTTTCTTCTATTTTGCTTTTGACTATTAAATTACAGAATAAGTTTTTAGATGAAAATCAAGTGAGGAAAATTCTTTTCATCAGTGTTGTTGAATACATGTCATGTATTGTTATATTAATTTTGTGTCTCATGTCTCATGTCTCATGTCATATCATGTATAACAAAATACATTAACATATATGACTACAGATTGTGGGTAAGAGAAGTTAGAGGCGATTGGTCATTGACCTTTGGGAAGATGGAGGGCACTTAAATTGTAATAACCCTCACGCTATCCTAACCATACTCATATGCATTCATGTGATTCTGTCTTGTAAGCTTGCGTTTCAGGTCTTGTCCTTATTCGTTTAAGTGTTACAGCATGTTTTGTACCTTGCTTGGTGTGAGTTTAGCCGAGGTGGTCTCCAATCTAGAATTATCTTGGAACCACTTTGTTTGACCTCCACCTTCGCCCTGACATATTGGCCGAGATGTCATTATCTAGGCCGAGGTTTTCATCACCAAGGCCGAGGTGTGTATCATCTAGGCCGAGATGTTACCTTTGCACCTAAGTGATCTTGTCCCGGAGTGGTATGACCTAGACCGAGGTGTGGCACATCTAGGCCAAGGTGTGGCACAGCTTAGTCAAGCGTTGTCCTTCCTAGCCGAGGTCATTGTTCCCATACTTGCCAATGCCTTGCTTTTAGCCGAGATCATTGCCTACCGAAGTGCCCATGCCATCTTGCTTGTTGAACACACTTTGTCATAGTCTTGTCTTGTCACTCAGCCACCTTTTTTAGTAGCACCAACCAGCTGCTGCCACGTGCCCCTGTAGAGGGTTAAGTCAGCCAGCAGACCTAGAAATGTATCATTTTGCTATATGTCTTTGTTTGTGAGGAGAGAGAAGCTCTAGAAGAAGAAGTTTAGAGTGATAGAGTGGGCTTTCGAGCTTGATTCCTAGAGATCAAACCATTAGATTCGCGTATTGAGGTTAGATTCTTGATTTACTCTTGTCGTTCTTATTGATCATCTAGCTGCATTGCACGATCGAACCTGTCCTGCATGTCATGCATCGATTTAAAGTTGGTTTAGAAAGAGAAAATAGTATTCATGTGTTCTTGAAGAAAAAGTCTTGTTTGATCTGAAAGTTTGCATTAAGATTCATGTTTTTTGTGTTTGTTCTCACAAGATCCTTGAATATGGGTACCCAGGCCCATGTTTTTGAACTCATAACATGAAATCTCAGATTTTGTAATAGCAAATTATGATCTTTGCATTCATCTTCATCATGTTCATGTTCTTCATGTTCATCATGTTCTTCAAGAGAGGGAAACCCAGATTTTTCCCGACTTCATTCCTTTGAATGAGGCCATCGAGGCCACACCTCGGCAAGGGGGTGTGGAACCTCGGCCTAGACCTGATAGTTGCCCAGCATGTTTTCCCGAGATAAAGAACTGTGTTTGTTTTGATTTGACTTAGTCTTGAGGAACGCCGAGATCATCTGCATGCATGTGAAACTTGTTTGAAAGTGCATTCAACAGACTTTGCCATGTGTTTGTAGGACTTGGACTTGCCTTGACCTCGACGTTTGAAGAACTAAGTGAGTGGTATTTTTAATAAAGCTATGTTATATTGCTTTGATAAAAGTCTTGTTTTGCTTCGTTTTGAAAAGTATTTGTAACCATGAATGATTATTCCTAGTTGGAAAATATAAATACTATCTTGTTCTGATGACATTCCGGGAAAGTCCGTACATGTAAGGGACTATAAGCATTTGTAGCACAACCTTTGAAAGTCCTTACGTGCTGGAGGACTCTAAGCATTTGCAGCACAAAGTTTGGAAGTCCTTACGTGCTAGAGGACTCTAAGCATTTGCAGCACAAAGTTTGGAAGTCCGTACGTGCTAGGGGACTCTAAGTATTAGTAGCACAAGTCCTTAGTGTCAGGGGACTATAATGCAACGGCACCATTAAATTGAGATATCTCCCTTGTCTTGCCTTGTCTTGCCTTGTTTGCCACTAACGGTTTACCGCGTGGGTTTGTTTGCTAAGATGTCATCACTTGTATTATAATGATGTTAGTAAGCATCCTTTGAAACTTGGTAGATTTGGAAGATGGACTTGGTTCATCCCTTGACTTGCACTAATTGTGTTATGTATTGTTTGATAAAGATCTTGGATACCAGTCATGCAAACCCCTTTATTACTTATACCATTCACTGAGTATCCAAGCTCACCCTCTCTATATATATATGTAGGTGATGAGCAGGAAGGCGGTGACGCCTAGGTGTGATTCGCGAGCTTGTTTTGGGTTTTGTTATTTCGGCCTAACTTGTATTCACGTCGGTAGTCTTGAAGATTATGCTTCTCAGCTTATAATACTTGTAATTTACACATGTCGGCTTGAGAAGCCTTTTGATCAAGATGTAATATGTATTTTGGTACTTCATTGTATTTGTATTCACGTTGTAAAATTATGTAAAGTTGTATGCATTCCATGTAACTTACGCACTGCTCTTATGGACCACTTGTATTTTTAAATTATTGCTTCCGCACTTGTGAACCCCATATACAAATTTATACTCTGATTGTGTGTGGATTTTGAAGGTTGGCCTTCGGTAATCCCGGATTACTGGCCATCACGGCACTAAACTACTAGGGGCGGTTTGGGTTCGTGACAGATTGGTATCAGAGCGCAAGTTTCTTATAGTGCGCTATTCACACACTCGAGTCCTAAAGAGCATAGGATTTCCCTTAGAAAAATGTTAGGATCGCATCATATTGCTTGCTATTTGACAAGGTGTGCATCATCTCGGCATGACCATTTGTTATTTGCATACATGATTCTTGGTTCAGTGTGTTTTAAGGTTGCATTTTGCCTACTCATAGCATCATAAGGAGAGGTAGACCACCAGTTGGCCGAGATTAATCAGAGGATAGACTGGACAGACTAGAAAGACTGGTTGAAGGTTTGACCCATAACAGAACGCAAGTGCTACATCTACCCAGGCCGAACAGACGGATGGCCGACATGCAGCTCCACCTCCTCCAGTGCCCCAAGTGCCTCCACAGCCAGCCTTGTATGGGGAAGGGACGATGATTTTGATTAAAGAGTTCAAGAAGATGAACCCACCGAGATTCTCAGGGGGCATAGAGCCGATGAAGGTCGAGGCGTGGGTTTTGGAAATGGAAAAGCTGTTTGAGATCTTTCCCAGCACTGACACTTAGAAGGTGACATTAGCAGCATTCACATTAGACGACGACGCTCGAAGGTGGTGGATAATGATCCGGGAGGCTAATCCTGGTTTAACTTGGGCCAGATTTTTGGAACTGTTTTACAACAAGCATTTTCCGCTTAGCGTTCGAGATCGCAAGACCACAGAGTTCCAGACTCTGACATAAGGCAACAGAACAGTAGCAGAGTACAACCGTGCCTTCACCGAATTGGTGAGATACGCGCCTCATATAGTCAGTGATGAGTATAGGAAAGCCATGAAGTTTGAAAGTGGACTACGTGGACCAATCCAGGATTGGGTCAACATGCTCAATATGCCGACTTACGCCGAGGTGTTAGACAAGGCCATCTTGGCGGAAGCTAACTTAAACCGTTATCAAAGTTCAGGAGAGAGTCAGAGGAAGAGACAGAACTATGAAGGTCGTCGGCTCACTCATTTTCCTTATATATGTTACCAAAAAAGCAGCTTAAGAGGGGGTGAATTAGATTTTCACAATTAAAATTTATAATACCCTAATAAAAATTATGACTAGCACAATAGATAAATATAATTAATGAAATAAAAATAATTAAAACAAGTTTCTTAACAACTATGTCAGTTAATGATTTTAGCCTGCTTTGAATGTGGCGAGGTAGGCCACCGCGTGAAAGACTGTCCAAAGGCAAGAGCTGGTGATGGTAAGAAAAATGGGAGCACCTCGGGCTCTGCACAAGGAAGCAACGTCGGGAGGACACAGATGAGACAGGGCAGAGTTTTTGCTCTAGTGCCAGGAGACACCTAGAATGCTGAAACGGTAGTGTCAGGTACACTCTCAATTTGCTCTCAAGTTGCATACGTCTTGATTGATTCGGGCTCTACATATTCATTTGTATCTGTTAAATTTGCCGAGAAGTTGAACAGACCGTTAGAACCCCTTGA